AACTGCATTAGCGGGGCAATATTTCTGTACAGACCAAACAAAAAATGGAGAGGTAGTGTTTTATGTCAAAAGCAAAATCATTGTTAAAGGCATTGAGGTTTTAAAGAAAGCGATTATCAATTTTTCGAAACAATGTTGGACATTAGAAGTCAGAGGGAAAACAATAAATCTAGAAAGACTTGGTAGTTCTGATGACTTTGATAATACAGAGAGAAATCTAACGAACGTATTTTTCATTGTAAGTCACCTCAAACTGTGTACTGGTAGAGATGCGGATGCCATTCAAGTTCCTGTTCACATAACTGCAGAAAACATCAGAAATGAATCAAATGATAGTGCGAGAATGATACGCTCCGCAAACTGTCTCTGTGTCATAACGCTTCTTTCCGAAGTAAACTGCAGTATAAAGTGTAGTGTGGCTGTGCATAACTTTAAGACACGAACCCTTTCAAAACCAGAAGCAGAAATTTGTACAGAGGATCTCCATGACATTGCAAAAATAATGTCATCAGTGTTTCCTGGTGCATCTCCTGAGATGCAAAGTTTTCTACAAAACCAGCATGACGTACTCGCCTCTAAGCAAACAAGTAAAAGTGCAATACGATGGGAAATAGACACCATTCGTACTTGCCTGGAGCTGTGGTGCAAAAGTCCTAGGGCACACGAGAACTTTAAAGGAAGTAATATTTTCAATCTCCCCTCAGGTAGAACGTTACAAAAATACAAAAATGTTACACCACAACATGCTGGTATCAACAGAGATGTATTTAACTGGATGGCCAACACTGCCAAAAAGGTTCACCTTCCACCTTTTATCTTACAAGATGGCGGGGACCAGAACCGACAATACATACGACTACATTTCAACAACGATGAGGATGCCATAAGAAAAAACTATATGAGTCCTAATTTGGCAAATATGTCCCGTAATGTGGCCCCCTCGCAAGATTTTTCACACAACGTGAAAAAGCTACGAAATGCTGTTCTATCCAGTGGAACACAGAAACACCATACACGGTACCTTCGACTAGGAGACCAGTCAATTGTTTGGGAGATGTGGCTAGATGCAGTTAGATGGGATGAAAAGATCAATTATAGGCGGGCCAACAGAAAAATATCAACATCTCATATGTACCAGAAAAGATGAGAAATCATTTAGCCGAGGAAATGCTGGATCAAGATTTCCTGTACCTAATGGAGGCCAATCAGAAGTCCATTCAAAACAGAAGTGTTCTTGATGGAGCAGTACGTTTCCTGGAGCAGACAAGACGACTGATTTCCATCTTTAGGGATAAGCGCCCAATATCATCTGTGCCAGATATTCGGCTCTCTACATTGAAAGAGATCCAAAAATGGTTCAGAGACTGGAAAGAAGAAGTCCATTGCTTAGTGGGATTATCTGCAAAGGAAAGAGAGCGGAGTCTTCCAAGCACAAAATGTCTGTGTGACCAAGAAAGTCTCTTATCAACATTTGTAGAGATTAGCTGTATACATCTGAAAGACTTTCCTTCCTCATCAATTTATCCTGCCCGTTTCAACTCAGATGTGATAGAAAATAACTTGTGTCAGGTCAGGGGAATTCACAATGGAAATTCAACAAATCCTTGCTATCAGACATACTGCAATACAATGAATTCTGTGATTTTGGGGCAATCAGCAAAATCCCGAGGGAGAAAAGGTAATGCCAGACAAATTTCTGCAGACCCATATTCATATAGTGCTACAATCACAACATGTCCAAAAAAAGGAAAGTGTTGAAAGACATCTCAAACCATATCTACCGTAGTACTTAGACAAAAGCACAAGCTGTCACACCAGGATTGTTCGGAAGCTGTCACACCATATCAACAGAGGGTGGAGGGCATCTTATAGATGTCTTATGATCCATTCTATGGGTCACACCCTGTCCACAAGCTGTCACACCAGAATTGTCAACAAACTGTCACACCATACTGACAGAGGGTGGAGTTGTCTTATAAATGTCTCATGATCCATTCTATGGGTCACATCCTGTCCACAAGCTGTCACACCAGAATTGTCAACAAGCTGTCACACCATAATTGTCAAAAAGCTGTCACAATAGACCGACCAAGGGTGGAGTGAAAATGAATTATGTAATTCCGGGGAAGAAATATTAATGCTGGACAAATTTCTGCAGACATGTAAATCTTGTACACTGCTACAGTCACATCATGTCCAGAGAAGGAAAAGTGTTAACATACATCTCAAACTTTATACAGGTGGATTGGGACTACTCGAGTGCTTATATAATTATGTCCAAACAAACACTATGTGCGTTTCAGTTAACATGACAGAAAAAAATAGGGTAGGTCATGATCATGAGCAAATAATTTTAATCAATTTGTTTTTTTATTTTCATATAGCAATATATATTGTGCTTTAAATTTATAATTTTACAAAATATTTCCACAAATACATTGTATTTTGACTATAAGATTTAAAGAATGGAGTCCACTCTCAGAAAAGGAAGAAATTACATTTTAATGAAAAACTGATCTTTCTTTGTCTGCCTAATACATTAATATTAGCTTCAAATATGTGATAAAATGCTGGCAGACAGGTCTGGATATATGAACCATACATAATATTTGTGTTTGCCTTACAGTGGAGACCAATACAGGCATGAACTCATAACTGTTAATAAATTGCTACATGTCTTAATACATTCTACTCATTTAAGAAATATGATGTACCTTCCATATCCATGAGACACTGTGCATTGTGGATATCAACGTAACGGTTTGTTGAATATAGATGTACAGTTTTTCTCCTGGGGGTAGTGTACGCCCTAATCGTTTCAACAGCTGAAGACTCTCTCTCTCCAAATAACCTCTAAAATTTGAAATTTAGTGCATATAGAACAAAACCTGATAATCAAATACCAACCCAATTATATCAACATTGAAATTGGAGAATAACTAGTGATGTCATCATTCCAACATTATCCCTGATGTATTCAGAAAACTAATCTGGACTTTGCTCATGTAGAAGAAAATTGCATGTACATGTACTTGAATTGTGTGATGCAACACAATTATGAAATTTCTTCTCAGAAAAAGATAATATGTCTTTGTAATTTGCATTTGGCCCTTACCATATCATTTAAATATGGATGCAATGTACAAGACAAGAAATCTGATAGAAATTATTGTTGCAGTATTTTCCTACTGGTAGTTGCTTTCTGTTTAGTGTTGATGAGCATGTACTGGTCACCATTTTCTCCGACTGATATCAATGTATATACTTAGAGTAGGATATAACTACATATAGCAATCTATAATAAAAATGTGCCCAGTACATGCTAATTGATACCACACCATACTTATTATTACCGTGTCAGTCCTTTCACAGCCAAGGCAAAATCTTCCTCTTTCTGGCGATGGATCTCATCCAGGTTCATATGGTGAAAATACTTCATGGAGGAGGAGAACAACACATATTCTCCTTGATCTCCATACTGTTGGGAAGGGAAAGGGGTAGCTGGTAAAAGTCCCCACTGACAATCATTTGTACTCCACCAAAAGGTTGGTAATTTCCCTTGACATGCCGCAATACACACTCTATTTGGTCAAATAATTTACAGCTAACAAGCGAAATTTCATCAATTATCAAAACGTTCACATCTAAAATATATCTACGTTTGCTTTCATATGTTTCATCGTGGTCAAATAAATTACACAACTCTGTGTTTGTGTACCGACCATCTAGTAAGCCAATAAATCTGTGGATAGTCACACAACTAATGTCTTTACTGGTAAGGGCCTCTCTGAGAAGAACGGCAGATTTCCCAGTACTTGAAGTAAATGTCACATTTTTACTTATTGATATAGTTTCAATGATATGTGAAAGCACAAAGGATTTCCCAGTGCCTGGAATATCTGTCAACATTATATCGTGGCCAAGATTCGCATGCTGAAAAACGTCTGTTTGAAAAGTATCCATAGCCACGTTTTTGGCAAACTTTTCAATACGCGGATGTCACTCACCTTAGATAAAAGTAGAGAACTTCCGAACAGAGTTTTATTCACTGCGGTCCTTTCATCATTTCCGGGTCAGGTTCAAGTTAATCATGGCGGTAAAACTGCAAATTCTCCGATAAAGTGCTTGATTGGATGTATTAAACGAATGATTACACAATTAATCATGATGGATTACTTAATTACAATTCAAACCGAAGCTATCGCCGGAGATCCCTGGAAAAAATAGCGAAAGTAAGTGTTGAAAATCTTCATTTGAAATTTGGCGGTACCGGTAGTGCTCTGACGAAGCTTCTTCCCTTGTGTATGTTTATGTGTGTTGTGACCCGTATCAGTATAGCATATGTGTATTTCAGACATTTGTAACGTGACCCTGTGATCAGATATTACTGGTTGTTGTTGTCGCATTGTCTGTGTCGCTGCAGCTTCATAAAGGCGACGACATTTTGTGAAATGTATACATATCTATCCTTATGTTGTTGTTGTTTTTTGCAGCTTTTCCACATGCGAGTTTGTGTCTAATTGTATGTGGATGTTTATACACTGAAAGGTACGAAATATCAATAGCGACTGGTTATAAACCAATAACCGGTATTCGTCATTTTACTGCAAGGACCAACAATAAATATTCCATCAGACAGCATGAATACAATTTGCGGATAAAATGTGTTTACTTGTTGATCGTATTCGTTAAGGAAGAGTATTGTTTTGATTTACTTACAATGGATCTACACATTTATTTAATTTCCCGTTGACGATTGTTTTCATAATTTTAGGAAAGCGCTATTAAGGATGTACAGCTTGGTTATTATGTCTCTCCGTTTGTTGCCCGGTGTGAATGACATTAGGGGTTGTGCGAATGTGCGTGTAATCTTAATTACTTTGAAATGATTCAATATATTCATTTTACATATTTGTCATCATACTAACTTTCATACTCGTACATTGAAAAGCGTTCGCAGGACAAACGCATACATTGCTGGAAACACAGGTACGGCACTAATACCGTCTAGGCGGGTGCTCTGTCCCGCGGGTATTAAGGCTGCTCACAGTATATACAAATTTGAACCCACATATATTCGATCAATAAGGTTCAACGGTCAAGCTAATTTGGTGTTGTGTGTCAGTCGGGGACGTGTTCAAAGAGTAGCAACTATAGCCAGTCAGTCAGACACATATTATTAAATGAAGGCCGTACGTCGACACCGGAATATTTACGTTACGCTCTCTTGATTTTCCCCACAGGTGAAGTAACGCCGGTTCATACACCTTTACATTGGTATACGTGTGTGAGGTGCAGGAGAAAATCATTTCAGTAAACATTTGTGTATATGATACTTTGGAGATAATTCGGTGACTGCAACTGTTTTAAGAAGCGAAAGTGTTATGAATTATTTCAAATCCTGTCTTGGATTTACATAAAATACAACAAGGACTATCTTACCAGTGTTTAAAGTGAAGAATTGAATAAATATGGAAAATACAGGCTACCAACCAGGTAAGTGTATTGCTGTTGAAACAGTTAGCGAGTTTATACACTGCAATTTGAAAGATGTGAATACTTAGAACCAGGGATAGTATATATATAGTATATATACTTCATTATACATGTACGTCCCTGCTAGAACGTAAGCTTCACCATGTTTTAAAAGTGAACAAACAGGTTCTGTCTACAACCAACCATGTCGTTTTCTGTACAACCACTATGTTAGGATTCAATACATTCTTATGGAAATAGCGATAAGCGGTTGTATGTATCAGGTCAGGTGTGGCAACGATAGATGTGAACATTGCATGAAGGTTATAATACAGACAGGTGTGAAACATATCGCTCTTCCTCCATTACTTTGTAAAACTCTTAATCTGACTCATTATTTCTTTTTAGCAGTCCTGACAACAGTAAGTTTCAATATGAAGATGTTTACATTGATATTCCTTACAGTTTATAAACGTAAACGTTCTTTAGTATTTCAACGCGTCTTGATGTTAGTTGAGTCTGATAAGCACTGTAACTAAAGGGAAATGAGAGGCGCACGTATCAGATTTCCTGTTATCGTCTGAAATCGACAACCAACATATAGGTTAAATTTGTACAGTTGTGGGATCGCACAACGTTACACGATGTGCGGTGTGCGCACGGTGTGTGCACGAAGTGCGAACGATAGAAATTGGACAATCATTCCTTGCGCACATTTGTGCGGACGATCGACGAGGGGTTTCGTGTTTGAGCATAAAATCAGATTTTTTAGTATGTTTCTATACTCTAGTTACATCTATAAGCGTTTACCCCGCCCGGGGCACTTACGTAACTCGCCAAGGTGTGAAAACCAGATGAAGGGGAGCTATAGACCAAAACGAATGCAAATAACAAATATTAAACGTCCAGTTGAGTTTTCATAACGGTCATACGGGGTCATATGTCAGCTCTATGTGTCAAGTACAGGCCAAGTAAAACTCCGGTCACTCATCAAATTGTTATTTACGTGTTCTGTTACCGAGGAGCCAAACCCATTCTTGACAGTCTAACGGTCAGAGTATACTGTATTACACGCATTGTAAACTTGTACATACTCTTAATTATAGAAGAGACGTATACGTCTCTGATTATAGTGATGAGAAATTATAGTGATATATACAGTGTACATTATTGCATACGAGCATTCCGTATTTTTTCCATTCCGTAATATTGATCAACAAATTGTACCATATCGCACAGATGTGCGGAGAGAAGCGCACAACGGGGCGAACGATTGTTAAATCGCACAGTTGTGCGCACCATGTGTGGACGATGTGCGGACGGTGTGTGGACGATGTATGCACGGTGTGCGCACGGTATTTTTGGTGCGTTGTGAGTTCCCACACCTGTATTAAAAAGCCGACTTTGCAAGTCCGATAGTGTAGGGCTGAATGGACAAACTTTGACTGTATAATGTGGACTTGTAAGTTCATTCACCAATCTTGAAGTGCAAGAATTCTTCCGTAGAATAATAAAGCATTCGAATGAATATTCAAATATGTTGAATGACGACGAGTATGTCTGATACAGATATGATGTTTGCATGTACTATCATACAATCATGTTTGTTCCCAGTATTGACAGTTATAAAATATCACAGATTATAAATGATACCCTGATGCGTCATTAGGTTAACACGTCCCATACGCCTTTGCAGTCGGATATTCCAATACGCGTATAAAGAGCGTCATTAAACGAGTCCCATTCAAAGTGTGTAATGTTATGTGCAGAAAGAACCACCACACTGTACCTTTTTATCAAGTCTTGGTAAACTGTTGAATTTGTGTAAATGATTCGTATTAAAATATCAGTGTATTCGCTTGTTAAATATTAAAGCGCATGCAGTATATGCTTGACACAGTAGAACCTTCATCTGATTGATATGTCCATACCATATAAATATGCCCTTCAGCTTAATTCATATCAAACACGCTATACTATAATATATTCTTTATCATCAGAACTAAAAAAAAAAAAACCAATATGTCATCACAACCACAAGGATGCAAATACGCCAACGTACATTGTCACCTGCATACACACACACACGCACGCAAACATACCCTGTCTCCGGCATACACACACACTCTCACACACACACACACACGCAAACATACCCTGTCTCCGGCATACACACACACAATCACGCAAACATACCATGTCTCCGGCATACACACTCACACGCAAGCAAACATACCCTGTCTCCGGCAGACACACACACACGCACGCAAACATACCCTGTCTCTGGCATACACACCCACACGCACGCAAACATACCCTGTCTCCGGCAGACACACACACACGCACGCAAAAATACCCTGTCTCCGGCATACACACACACAATCACGCAAACATACCATGTCTCCGGCATACACACTCACACGCAAGCAAACATACCCTGTCTCCGGCAGACACACACACACGCACGCAAACATACCCTGTCTCTGGCATACACACCCACACGCACGCAAACATACCCTGTCTCCGGCAGACACACACACACGCACGCAAAAATACCCTGTCTCCGGCATACACACACACAATCACGCAAACATACCATGTCTCCGGCATACACACTCACACGCAAGCAAACATACCCTGTCTCCGGCAGACACACACACACGCACGCAAACATACCCTGTCTCTGGCATACACACCCACACGCACGCAAACATACCCTGTCTCCGGCAGACACACACACACGCACGCAAAAATACCCTGTCTCCGGCATACACACACACAATCACGCAAACATACCATGTCTCCGGCATACACACTCACACGCAAGCAAACATACCCTGTCTCCGGCAGACACACACACACGCACGCAAACATACCCTGTCTCTGGCATACACACCCACACGNACACACACACACACACACACACACACACACACACGCAAACATACCCTGTCTCCGGCATACATACACACAATCACGCAAACATACCATGTCTCCGGCATACACACACACAAGCACGCAAACATACCCTGTCTCCGGCATACACACTCACACGCAAGCAAACATAACCTGTCTCCGGCAGAGACGCACACACGCACGCAAACATACCCTGTCTCCGGCATACACACACACAAGCACGCAAACATACCATGTCTCCGGCATACACACCCACACGCACGCAAACATACCCTGTCTCCGGTATAGACACACACAAGCACGCAAACATACTCTGTCTCTGGCATACACACCCACACGCACGCAAACATAACCTGTCTCCGGCATACACACACACACTCACGCAAACATACCCTGTCTCCGGCATACACACACACACCCACGCAAACATACCATGTCTCCGGCATACACACACACAAGCACGCAAACATCCCCTGTCTCCGGCATACACACACACACGCACGCGAACATACCACGTCTCCGGCATACACACCCACACGCACGCAAACACACCCTGTCTCCGGCATACATGTACACACACACAAGCACACAAACATACCATGTCTCCGGCATACACACCCACACGCACGCAAACATACCCTGTCTCCGGCATACACACACACACGCACGCAAACATACCCTGTCTCCGGCATACATGTACACACACACAAGCACGCAAACATACCATGTCTCCGGCATACACACCCACACGCGCGCAAACATACCCTGTCTCCGGCATACACACACACACTTTCGCAAACATACCCTGTCTCCGGCATACACACACACACACTTTCACAAACATACCCTGTCTCCGGCATACACACACAAGCACGCAAACATACCCTGTCTCTGACACATACACACACACAACCTCGCATACACAACACACATGGAGGCACGTCCTTAAATTACCGTAGCTGTTAATAGGACGTTAAACAAAATACAACTAACCAAACCATTACAATCAAACTGAAAAGTTAACACCTAGATATATCGTTAGTGACTGGCTTCTGTGAATTGCCACACAGTGTACCAGGTCGCGGGTGTTAGTCAGAAGTCGGCCGCACGTAACGAGGGCGATCCTGACACTATATGAATTAACATATATGTGTAGATACGGCTACATCGGTCCGGGTTTACATTGGTCGAGTTAAAGTCACAACCTACTGGTGAAGCCATTCTTATTAAAACACATTTACATTACATCAACGATAATCTCAGATAGAATAAGAGTTTGTTTCATAACGGAACGCCAATAGTTTTGTCTTTAAATAGATTATTTAACAATGGATTGATATTTTTCATTTATGAACTCATATACAAATAATGTAAATTTACTGATGTCTTCAATTAGATTCTTTTACAATGGATTGATATTTTTCATTTATGAACTCATTTACAAAGAATGTACCTTTACTGATGAAGACAAAGGGTTATTTCTTTTAATAGTCTGTTTATGAATGTGATATGGTTATAAGAAAGAATGCCTTTTTATGAATGTGGTTTGAAGCAAGAAAGTAAATTTGGTTTGTATTGTTTGATAGCCGATCGACACTGTGACACAAATTAAAACCCTATCTCACTGAAACACCATGCCGAAGGCACCCAGCACATTTGTTTTGGTTTGGTTTTATTTTGTTTAACGTCCTATTAACATTAAGGTCACTTGATTAAGGACGTGCCTCCATGTGTGTTGTGTAAGGGTGACCCGGCACAGTATCCACCCGGTCACATTATTCTGAAAACGGGTAAACCAGGTTTCGCTATTATCCTAAATGAAAAACGTTTAACAAGAAATAACAACTAGCATTTTAAAGGACTTTTAGTATGTCCCGTTCGGGGACAGAACACATCGCCTACCCCATCTGTGCGAACGCTCAACACTTTGGCAAAAAGTGAGGTTTTGAGAAACAAAGCACTCGGAAGGAAAAGGGTTGTTAGGAAGTAGAGAGGAAGTATATAGATCCAAAATTTTACGATTGGGAAGCTGATTGATTTTGTTTTTTAATGTCCTCTTAGCATAAGACACAGAAGATAACTCCGGATTTTTGCACGGGTCCCAC